TGACTTTGAAGCCCTGGCAGAGGCTGCCCAGGGAGGTGGTGGAGTCTCCTTCTCTGGAGACATTCAAACCCCACCTGGACACGTTCCTGTGGGACCTGCTCTGGGTGGCCCTGTTCTGGCAGGGGGTTGGACTGGATTATCTCCAGAGGTCCCTTCCAACCCCATGAGATTCTATGATCTTTGAGACAAACACGAGGCAAGGAGTTGGACCACAGCTTAGGCTTCAGGTAACCCCACTCTGCGACTAAAGATGAGTCCCAGGTTTAGAGTTTGGCTCCTCATAAAGACAGGACCGTTTGCAAAACTCAACCCCAAGCCCCACGTGTGGTTCCCAACCCAGAATCACAGAATCTTCTAGGTTGGAAGGGACCTTAAAGATCATCTTGTCCAACCGTCAACCTAATTTTGACAAAAATAGACACCCACACAACAAACAAGGAGCATCATCACTAAACCATCCCTCCCAGCACTACATCAACCCGTCTTTTGAACACCTCCAGGGATGGGGCCTCAACCACCTCCCTGGGCAGCCCATTCCAAGGGCTGATGACCCTTTCAGTGGAAAAATTTTTCCTAATATCCAGCCTGAACCTCCCCTGGTGCAACTTGAGGCCATTTCCTCTTGTCCTGTCGCCTGTGACTTAAGAAAAGAGACCGACCCCCACCTCTCTACACCCTCCTTTCAGGGAGTTGTAGAGAGCAAGAAGGTCTCCCCTCAGCCTCCTCTTCTCCAGGCTGAGTAACCCCAGTTCACAGAATCTTAGTGGTTGGAAGGGACCTCTGAGATCATCGAGTCCAACCACAAAAAACAAACAAACAAACAAACAAAACCAAACAAATACAAAACACACCACACCAAACACCCACCAAAAACACCACACCCACCAACTAAACCCCACACTCAACACCTCACCATAAACCAATAACCTTGGGCACTAGAGCATGCCCTGAAGAGCCATGTCTACACGTTTCTTAAATCCCTCCAGGGATGGTGACTCCACCACCTCCCTGGGCAGGCTGTTCCAGGGCCTGACCACTCTCTCAGCAAAGTCATTCTTTCTAATATCTAATCTAAATCTCCCCTGCCCCAACTTCAGACCATTTCCTCTGGTCTTGTCGTTCGTCCTTTGGGAGAAGAGGCCAACACCTGCCTCTCTCCACCCTCCTTTCAGGGAGTTGTAGAGGGCAATGAGGTCTCCCCTCAGCCTCCTCTTCTCCAGACTAAACATGCCCAGTTCCCTCAGCCTCTCCTCACAGGACTTGTTCTCCAGGCCCCTCACCAGCTTGGTGGTTCCCCCAGCCTCTCCTCTGAATTTCGCTTGGGTTCTGCCGCTTCGTTCCCATCATCTTTTTTCTTTCTCTCCTTATTTACTCCTTCATTTTCAGGGGTCTTAATTTCCTGCATCCCCCAAGCCCCGCTGAGACCGGGCCTCTGCCTACATGGGATTGCTCGCTCCGACCCTTCCCTCTTCAGGGAAAGGTCAGGAAGGGAGGTTAGAAGAAAAGCAAAGAGCAGACAGACAGAGAGCACTCATAAAGATCTGGCTGTGAGCCTCTCTGAGAAAATGTCAGCTCGGGGGAAGGCTATAATAGCTTTAATCTGCAGTACAAGGGGATTAAAAGACTCCTTCTCACAGGACAAAAAAGAAAGGAAGGAGGGGAACAAGGGGAGAATGAAGCCCGAGAGGGGAGGAAGGGGGAAAGTTAAAGAGCTCAACTCTAAAGAGCATCGGGATTGAAAGAGCTCCTCCGTTTTTGGGGTAATAAAAGCCAAGTGGCCCTCCTGGAGAAGGGGGGGCTTTTAGCCCACAGCTTTGCTTTTGCTTTTTCACCCTGAGCACGCACACTTCAAGCCTCCCTTCCATCAGGGCAACCCGTTCTGTTTGGCTCTGTTGATTTTCAGGGGCAAAGGAGTAGGAGGGGGAAGCAGAAGGTTAATGAGGCTCCGCCAGATGCGACACTCGAGAGAAGCAGTGGGCATTATGGTGGTTTTTTTTTTGTTTTTTAAAAAAAAAAAACAGTGGTTTTATGGTCTTTGATCCTCACCCCCCCTCCTTGTCCTCAAGGGCCGGGGAAGAGCATGAGGGCCTGGGAACAGGAAGGAAGTTGGGGGAACTGGGGGACGCTCTCCTCAAGTACCGCTTGAGCAACCTCTTCAGGAGCTCAGCGAGGCCAGGAGATGGAGAGAGAGCAATTGAAAGGGTAAGGAAAGAAGGCGACTTTAAATACTTTTCAAAAGGATGAAAAAAAAAATAAAAATAAAAAAAAAAAACCCACCAACTCAATGCATCGACTGCAGGAGATGGAAAGGTCAACGAGGCACCAACATGGACAAGAAACTTACGCTCCAAAGGGGAAACCAGGTACTTTTTAGCATTAATACAGCAAATAAACCCTATTTCCTGCAGTAAGAGCCTGGTTCAGGTTGCCCAGAGAAGCTGTGGCTGCCCCATCCTTGGAGGGGTTCAAGGCCAGGTTGGAGGGGGCTTGGAGCAACCTGGTGTGGTGGGAGATGTCCCTGGTGATCACCTGGTGATCTTCAAGGTCCCTTCTAACTCTAACCATCCTATGACTCTTACCCTCAAATCAAGGCAGGGCTGCTCCATTTGACAACAGGGAGGTCAGGACATATTTACGTTAGGACACGGCCAATATTCTCCTTGAAGACAAGAGGAAAAGGCCTCAAGTTGCACCAGGGGAGGTTTAGGAGGGATATTAGGAAAATTTCTACACTGAAAGGGTTATTAAGCATTAGAAGAGGCTGCCCAGGGAAGTGGTGGAGTCACCATCCCTGGAAGTATATAAAAGTTGGGCAGATGTGGTGCTTAGAGATATGGTTTAGTGGTGGCTTTTTTCAGGGTTGGGTTGATGGTTGAACTTGATGATCTTAAGTGTCCCTTCCAACCTAGAAAATTCTATGATTCTGTGAATTCCCCACCTGGAAGCAAGAACATACTTCAGCCTTCACAAATCTTTTTCCAACCTGGAAAATTCTATGATTCTATGATTTTTCCCCACCTGGAAGCAAGGACACACTTCAGCCTTCACAAATCTTAGAAGACATGGCACCATGGGAAGGTGAGACAACCACCCAGGAGTCCCGAGTTCCCTCCCATGAACACCCTCACCAGCCTCTCCACCAGTCAGGAGAGATGCTCCAGGACCTCACCAAGCAAAAATCAAACCTCTACAGCAGGTTCTCTACTATTTTAAGCAGCTCAGCATCGTGCTGGGGGCTGGCGAACGCTCTGCGCACCAGTTGTACTCAAAGAGGGGAAAAAAAAAATAATAAAAAGGCTTTGTAACATAATAAGCAAGTTCCAGACAGGAATTAGAGTGTAGCATATCCAGTGGAGACAGGGGGCTGGAGTGGCATTAAGGTAGGAAGAATATAATTACCTGAACTGGACCGTGGCCAGGATAATGGTATTAATTTATTTCAAGGAAAGCCAGAACTAGCCCAAACCTGGATTTTACATTTCAATCCAGAAGATGGCAAATCCAATTCCACTCTTCCAGGAAAGCTCTGCTGATGGGTTTACACCCCTGACTCCTCCTCCTCCCCCTGGCCACGATTTGGAAAAGCCTGATGCCATCCCAACTCAAAGCCCTGATGCTCTGCTCCAAGGCAAATATCCCCCAAGGAGATGTAAGGAATAAACCTCACCCCACTCCCCAAAACTCGCCCACAAATCCAAGCTCTCAAGCACAGCCCCTCGTTCGATCTGGTATTAATTATCCCCCTGCTCTGCAGAGATAAATGCTTGATCCTCTGGCTGTTGACACTGGAAAGGGCCCAATCTGCCCCGGGGTGGATATTAGGCAGGGGAACTTGGCTACCCCACCTCATGTGCTGTACAAATGTTCACTGCCCTGGAGGTAATGGATTTCGTAGGGTGTCCAGGATCTTTTCCCTGGCAGAGCTAATCCCCAATAATACATGACTCAAACATTCATTGTATCAGGTTTTTCTTCCTCCTCCTTTTTTTTTTGACGTAATATTTCAATTTTCACGTGGAATTTCTCATTTCCAGACATTCTATATCTCCTTCTAAGCTTACCAGCTTTCCTCCTCCAGGGCTGATATCAAGGTGAACTTCCTACACGAGGGATGTGGAGATGGGTCAGCACAACCCCTGCTTCTCGGGGGGGGGGGTTCTTCAGGAGAAAGGCCCAAAGATCTCCACGTTGCTTCTGTGGTGTCACACTCCCTGGGAAACCTAAATCAAGATTTTTGCTTGTCAGGGAGAAAGAAGCAACGCTGATGCCACCAGAGATGGGCAAACTGCTCCTGTTTCAGGCCAAGCTTCTAAGGACTTTGGTCTTCCCCATGTCTGAGCAGTCCCACCAAGGCCAAACCATGGTCCCAGACCCGTTGTCACCAGCCCTGCTGCCCCAGCCAGGTGTTTTGGGACACCTGGGGGGGCCTGTCCCCCCACCTTCCCAATCCTACTGGGGCTTTGCTTCCTCTTCCCAAGGCCTGTCTTAAAGGGATTTTCTTGGCAAAGGCGAATTTCAAACCCAAATGCAGAAACAAGCTTGAAATAGGAAGATTATTGTACACAGAGTCAGAACAAAAGCCATAAATAATTGGGAGCATCCGTTTGCTCCCTATTTAATAATAAGACAGGTTCTCAGGACAGCACTCTTCTACACAGACTTGAGCAGCAGCACCCACAAAAGCTGATACAAGGGTTTGAACACACGAAATACAACAGGAGCTGCTCTCCCCGCCCTCCCTTTAGGGATTTGGGGCAGTGGCTGGAGCCTGCTGCCCAAATTCCTGCAGAAAAAAAGGAGCTTGCTGGGAGTACAGACACACAGAGAGCAAGCTAAATGGTTTTTGTTGCCCTTGTTTGTTTTACCAAAGCTGTATTTCCAGTCTTAGTCCAATGGAAATAAACTTGCAGCCCACCTGAATGCACAAGCTTGCCACCAGCGGGCTCAGTTTAAGCCGAAAATTAGAGTGAGGCAATCAACTGGCATTAGAAAGACCAAAAAAAAAGAAAAAGCTGAACTTTTTATTGGATTTTGTATTCCTTAACAACAAGATACAGAGAGGGGCTACTTGTTCCTACGCTGTTCCTGGGCAGCTTCACCTCAGCTGTGAGAAGGGCCTGAGATCTATGAAGGAGAGAATGGGAGCTTGAAGCCTCGCCAGGAAGAAAGAGCATGAGAAAGGGCTCTGGCAGCCCCAGGTTCTGTTTTCCTTCCTTTAAGGAAAGAAAAGAAAGTTCTGGAGATTAAAACAAAGATCTTGTAAATCCAAACTCCTGGGGTCTGTTCCCGACTTTGCTTGGCTGAGCAAAGAAACCAACTTCATCCCTCTCTGCCCCAGCTCCTCCCTGGTGAACACAGAGGAGATGCTGCTACTTGGTCTGGTAAAACCACAAATCCTTGTCACACCACCCCAGTGAAGCACCAAGCTCTCCATCTATGCTCCTCAGAACCCACCAAGAGAAATGGCAAATTATTTCCTTCAAGAGAAATGAAAATTTAGTAACTCACACCACGCCAGAGGGCAGGGATGTAGTAGGAAAAAGAAGGGAAAGAGGAGCCTGGCAGTGAAGAAAGGGGTGAAGAGGCTGCTCCAAGCAAATATTGTGCTTAAGGATATATAGGAGTCCTGCTCCTTGGCCATTTGGGATTATCCCACATGGAGCACTCCCCAAAGCTTTGCCTAAACTACTCTTACACTCTTTTCCAAGCTACTCTTCCAAGCTGCTTTCCAAACTACTCTTTTCCAAGCAGGTGGCAAGTTACCCTCCCAAAAGCATCACTGCTGAGAAATGGTCCTCAAACGATGCAGAACTGCTTTGCTCCATTACATTGGATTCTGTCTAGTCTTGGGATGTCCTTAGAGCTCCCTAAAAATATATATATTGCTGGCAGTGAGCTAATCCTTCCCTGTATTTGCACACAAACACAAAGAAGCACAGACTGTTGTGTCCATTATTAAGAAGCTGCCCCTAATACACATTTTGGAGTCCCACCACCTTCTCTCCAAACATGGACAGAGCATCCAGCTCCAAGAAACAACAGGCTGTAGGCAATGCACCCTGTGATGCTGTAACATGGACATTAGCTGTGATCCTGTATGGTCCCCCCTTGGGAGGTCTCCTCTTCTAAGCACTTTAATCTGTAGACAACACCAGGAGCAGTTGTTATCTCCTCGATAAGCAAAGTCCAGTCCGTATTTCTCCCAGGAAACACACCAAAACAGGTCTCCAAACTGGTCCATTGGTGCACATTCTCTGTGTCAATAATCTCTGTGTCCATTTTCCTTGTCACAGACCCAACAGCAGGCAGCAGACATGTCCAAAACCACCCAAGTCTTGATTGGCAGCTGCCCAAGTGGGGGACCTGATGAGCTTTCCAGAGCCCTCCACACACAGTTGTTATTGTAGCACCAAAACATGGTGAAATAACCATCACGGTGGTGCCCACAAGCCCATTCCTGGGTCTAACCCACTGGTTGTCCATGCCACGAGTCCAGTTCTCCTCCTGGAGGTGCTCCCTCCTCTTCCAGAGCTTCCTGGGACAAGTGCTTTTGTGTGGGAGCTGGTTTATTTGCCTTGTGTCACCCTCCAGTGCCTTTTCTCCTGTGCCTTCCAGGTGAGAGCCTCTGGGACTAAAATGTGACTCAGCAGGCAGGCAAAATATATGATAATCCTAAAATCCAGCTGAACTACTATTCCCCTTTGGCCAGGTGAGAGTTCTCCTCAACAGAACCAGTCTGCCCTGCTTGCATCCTACTGGTCAGGCAGCAAAAGATGCCACAAGAAGACCCGTGGCAGCAGGAGAGGGTTTATTTTTGTCACTGAGGACTTTGTCCCTAAGGATTTCTGCATCATTTTTGACCTCCCAGTTAGTTGGGCAGTGGGATGGGTCCCTGATGCTGTCCTCAGGGCTGTCACCACATTTCTCTGCTCTGTCCTTCTCCCCATCTTCCTTCTGGTAAGATACAGCATGGTGTAGGCTTGGAGAGCAGGGACAGCATTTGGTTCTTCTTTCACCTGTCCTGGAGAAAGATCTATCAAGAAGAGACCATCAGAACAAGTCCCTGCGTGCCAGTGCCAGGTGGAACCTGAGGCCACAAAAGCACATCTTGTGTGCTCTCTACCTTTAGATGTTAGAGATGTTCAGGTGTGGGGCAAGACAAGAGGGTTTGTGGGCAGCCTGTCCACCTCAGCACAGGTCAGGCATCTTCATCCCAGGCTCTCCAGCAGGTCAGTAATGGAGCAGATGCTGCACAGAAGAAGAGCATCTTCAGCCCCTGCTGCTGAGTTTAATCCATCACCCAGAGAAGCCTGGAACCAGCCTCATTTAGCACTGGCTGGAAAATTTTCTTTACGAGAAGCTCCCAGACATGTTCAGTAAAGACTGAAAAATCAAATCATCCCATGCCTGTGGTTGTTTCTCTCTCTCCTCCACCGCTGGCTACACCAGCCCCAGTTAATGTGCTGAAATGCCTGCTCTGTCCAGGCCACCCGAGGCAGACGGCGCGACAACCGCAGTCTCCAGCTCATCGCCAGAGCCCTTCAGAACCAAAAACTCCAGCAGAAGGTCCAAGAGGCAGAAAACCAGGTGCCTGAAATGGAGAGGAGACAAAGCTTAGGCTGGTGAGGGCACGGGGGAGCTGGGAGATCAGCTCCAGACACGCAGAAGGCAAAGCTCAGGCGAGGAAGAAGCGTCCCCACTGCCAGCAGGGGAAAAACAAAAGATCCTGTACCCCAGAAGAAATGTTTCAAGGGATGGCTCACCCTTTTTCCACCCACCTCCCCAAACCAGTGGGTGTTTGAAGCTCCTGAGCACCACAAAACACACAAACACAGCTCCTGGAGTGAGGTGACACCTGAATTTCTCCGTAATTCATCGCAAAAACATTTCTTTCCAGATGCACAGCGATGGGTACATGGACAAGCACCATCTCCACATACACGCAGCTCCCAAAGCTCTTCTAAAACCAAACTAATCCAGGATTTGCTCTTATTTCCCCTGACAGTTCCCTCACATGCACAAACTAAGCAGGCCCAACGACATAATTAAGAAGAACGGCTCAATAATCTCCATCCAGACCGCTGTCCTAGACATGCACCTTCATAATAAGCAAACCAGATGCCCTTAGATAGTATCAATCTAAAAAAATTAGCCAGATATGTTCCATGCCAAGAAGCTGACAGGGTGAATCTCATGGTGAAGCCCTGAGAGTATCTTCCAGGCCCCATAGAGAAGGGTAGAGAGACCCCAAACCCTCCTACCTGTTAATCACAGGCTGGCTCAGGGACTCCAGCACCAGTTTCCAGCTCATCCGGCATTTACTGGTCCCAAGGATTTCTTGGATGACACCTGTCAACGTCAGAGACAAAGTTTCAGGGACTGCACGTTTCCACTGTGGTGAAACAGGCTCAGAATTCTGCTGGTGGGTGCTAAATCCCAGTTTGTGATGGTGCTCTGAGCCCGAGGCACCTCACGCCCAACGTGACCGTGCCAGGGACAGGACTGACCACCACAAAAGCATCCCAGCCTGGAAGGGCACATACTGGTGGCACTTTTTTCTCCCCACAGGGCAGTAAGGGCCCCTTAGGCTGCAGAAGGGAGTTAAAAGTTCAGATTGCACTCCCAGGGATTAGGCAGCAGCTGCTTTAATGCCAAAGGTCCCCGTGTCAAACTTCAAGAGAGGGAAGGAAATCCAGTGCAGCTGGGCTCATGATTCCAGTCCAGTGGCAAAGCCACTCTTCGGAGCAAGGAGCCAAAAATTTTGCCTTATTTGCCTTTTTGGCAACGGTCCCCTCTGGCAGAAGGTTGGAGCCCAGCGTGGCACTGGTTTTTCTGAGCCCTACCTCCTTTGAATCACAGAATCTTCTAGGTTGGAAGGGACCTTCAAGATCATCTTGTCCAACCGTCAACCTAATTTTGACAAAAATAGACACCCACACAACAAACAAGGAGCATCATCACTAAACCAGACCTCCCAGCACCACATCAACCCGTCTTTTGAACCCCTCCAGGGATGGGGCCTCAACCCCCTCCCTGGGCAGCCCATTCCAGTGTCTGATGACCCTTTCAGTGACAAAATTGTTCCTAATATCCAGCCTGAACCTCCCCTGGGGCAACTTGAGGCCATTTCCTCTCATCCTGTCGCCTGTGACTTGAGAAAAGAGACCGCCCCCCATCTCTCTACACCCTCCTTTCAGGGAGTTGGAGAGAGCAAGAAGGTCTCCCCTCAGCCTCCTCTTCTCCAGGCTGAACCCCCCCAGTTCCCTCAGCCTCTCCTCAGAAGACTTGTGCTCCAGACCCCTCACCATCTTTGTCGCCCTTCTCTGGACCCACTCCAGCACCTCAATGTCTTTTTTATGGTAGGGGGGCCAAAACTGGACACAGTACTCAAAGTGAGGTCTCACCAGTGCCCAGCACAGGGGGACCATCACCTCTCGGGCCCTTCTCCCCACGCTGTTCCTGATACAGGCCAGGATGCTGGGGGCCTTCTTGGCCTGGGCACACTGCTGGCTCCTGTTCAGCTGACAGTTGACCAACCCCCCCAGGTCCTTTTCTGCCCGGCAGCTCTCCAGCTCTCTGAGGTGGCTCAGTGGGAACTGGACTACATTAAACACAGAGAATATGGCCACTCTGCATCTGGGAAGCACCAAGACATGAATCCTTTTCTCTCCGAGCTGTGCTGCTCCCCAAATGCTTATGCAAACTACCTACAACTGGGAAACTGTGGTTTTTTGCTCACAGGAAACCATTCAAACCTCAAAGGTCATGAGCATTTCCCTCTGCCTTGGCACGAGTGGGCTCCATGGCTGTGTGTAACCACATTTCCAGAGATGCCAACGCACTGGAGGGTCCCCCAGCCTCTCCCACTCAAGATCTCTGGGCCACACTTACTTGGCAAGATCCCCACCAGGCTCTGCAGGGCCTGCTCTGCTGCTGCTTTCTTCTGTTCCTCAGTCCTGGCTGGTTTGGGCACTGCTGGTAAAACTCCCCCAGGCCAGATGGATTCCTGAAGCAACTGGAGGTACTGGACCCAACGTTGGGTGCAGGTCAGGTTCACCATTTGGACTTCCAGCCACCTGGGGGCAAAGGGAGAGAAAGAGAAAGGTCAGGGCAAGTCAAGCTTGGGACCAACTCATGAGCTTTCTGCTGATCAGAGGCCCTGGAGGGGAAAAAAAAATCAGCTTGCTGGGGAAGTTAACATGCAGTTTTCAAGTCTATACGTTAAACATTTTCATGAATATTAATTAGCTGAGTTCCCCCCTTCACTGGAACAATGTAAATGGTCCCCTATAGACAGAAACAACTGATGCAAAGTCACAGGGGAAAGGCAAAAGCCGTGAAAAGCTCCATCACAGGAAACCACTCGAGTAACTGGTCCCTAAATGGGGCCCAGTTAAGGGATGTGACTGGCCTTGACCTCCTAAGGCATGTCCACGCACAAGAAAACGAGAGAGCCAAAAGAACCCACCAAAATTGGTGTTTTAACTCTCAAACCAACCCCTGTGACTGACTGGAAGGACACGAGCGTGGTCTGGCAACCTCACCAGTCCCCCTGCTACCTCAGGAGTCCGGTGTGTCTCGTCTGGAGACCAAAAAGCACGCTCCCAGGATGGCAAGAAAGGAATATCCTGCTGCTTCTCGCTTCTCTTCCCCCCCCTGCTGCCCAGCCCTGCTCCATCCGCCGGCGGCGAGTGATGAAATCATCCCTGCTCCCATCCAAAACCCCACATCGCTCATCTATTAGGAGGAAAGTTCAGTACCTGCCAACAAAACTGCTGGTGGGGCCAAAACCGTGCCCTTTACACCGTTACAACCTGCAAATCCCGAGAAGTTTGCAGACTGTGCTGGGGAGATGCGTCCACACCACCCAAGAGCTGGCCAGGGGAGAGTTTCTCCATCAATCACCCGGATCCCTCTTTCCCCAGACGTGAAATCACTTCCCCGTGTAACAGGAAAAGCCACAGCCCTCAGTCAAAACGAGCCAGCGCCTAAAAATCTTTCCCCCTGGAATAAGGAGAGGCCAGGGGATGAGTCCCCAACGCCAACGAGGCCGACAGAAGGGTCCCCCATCCATCTGGCAACATGACATGGCACCGATGGCAGCCATCCTCATCCTCATCATAGAATCATAGAATTGCCCAGGCTGGAAGGGACCTCCAAAGGCCATCTAGTCCCACCCCCCCGCAGTCAGCAGGGACACCCCCAACTAGACCAGGTTGCCC